CAAAATGTTTGAATTATAGTTTTTATAAATTTATGAAGGATAGTGTGAGGAACAGAAAACCTTAGATGGGGTAGTTATTAGAATGCTACTATACTCTAGTAGTAAGACGACAAGGACTCAGGTAAGGAGTGGCTGCAAAAGAATGAAGGAATGCATAGTATGAGGAAAAGTTGATGGGTGAGATAATTGTCAAAGTTAGGACCAATATTTCTATTGTGACAGTTAAAGAGTTATAATCTAACTAAGTAGAACAGAGAATATTAAAAGAAGAATATTTTTGAGAGTGAAATACATGTATTTTGGATTTCTTAAGTCTGAGGTGATAATCAGCCTAGGATTTTAATTAGAAGAGTGTAGCTTAATTCTTCTTAATTATCTCACACTAAAAGATTGTTTTCCTCTGAATTTTTATAATAGTGTTTACTTGTACCACTTATTTAGTTAGTTATTAACTGAGTTATATTCCCAATGGCCACTTCATGTGACTGTCTTATTTACCAAAACAACTTTTGTATTCTGAAAGTTTTGCATTTGTATCTCCTATATCTCACTCTCTGGCACCACCAATAAATCCACTTTTTCAGAGCATATTGTTCAATGTCCATTGGAAAACATAAGATATACATTAAGGGCCTCCCTGGTGGTAGAGGGATTAAGTCTCAGTACTATCATGCTGTTACCCCTATGACCAAAGTTCAATCCCCAGCCACGAGCTGACTCACATGGCACACCCACTGACCCACCCACTGCTCCCCTCAACAGTGTGTTTCAGTGAATCAGCCTGTTTTGCTCTCCACTCTGTCTCTGATGAATCCTCTCACCCATACCTACGGCCTGCACCCCATTTCTTGTATGCATAAATAAAAATAAATCTTTAAAATAAATGAATAAATCTTTTAAAAAAGATACACATTAAAAGGTCTGATCACTACACTAAGAGATAAAAGGTTGGGATGCCATAGAACAGTAAAAAGGAAATATATAAGAGTGCTTAGAAGTCAAATATATAGTATTCATAAATGATAAAAAAAATTCACAAGATAAAGTTGAGGAAATCTCTTTGACTACAGAACCACAACAACAGAAAACTATAATTAGGGATTACATAATATACAAAAGAAATTTAAAAAGAAAACACTCCACCCGCCCCCCCAAAATACACAAGTTTCTATGCTGAATATGCTTAGCTCAATGAACTAAGCAAGACCCAACCAAAAGTATGTCCAAAACTAAATGCAGAACACTAAGAAGAAAGAAGACCAGGAAGAACCATATATTAAAGGCAGTACAAATACTAACAAGTAAAATCAAAAAGAAATTTCAGAGTGAAGATACAGGTTAAACACAGTGGTTTTTGTGTTGTGAAATTTTATATTCAGCCAAACTATAAAACGGAAAGGTAGAATAAAGGCCTATCTTTTGTCAGACAGACACGTTCCACAGAAATGTGCTTCCCATGAACTCTTTCTCAGGAAACTGAGAATATGTCCACCAAATCAAAAAAAAGAGGAAGATTCAAGAAAGAAAGGAATCAACATGGAAAAAAGGAGAAAGAATTCCTGAGCAAACTGCAAAGCGAAATCTAGAATGATAGCTGTGAAAGAGGCCTATAAAACAAGTTCAGATTAAAGCAAAAGATTAAGTTAGCTTTGAGAGGTAACTTGATATGGTTGACTGTATTGGTATGTGTGAAGCTGATTTAGAGGTAGGTGAAGAGTTATGTAAACAAAGTGATGATGCCATAGTTAATTCCAGGAAAAACAAAAAGTTTAACAAGAAATCACAGTCACAGGAAAATCCCTGACTTAGTGGTGAGTGGTATTTTTCTAACTCTAATATGTTTCAAGTATTTAATCAAAAAATTTGAAATAGTTGGGTGGTTGGAGCCAAAGGAGGAAGAACAGTATGAGAGAAAATAACTAAATCCTCATCTTTCATATGAACAAATCAATAAACATAATTTTTTAATAATTTAACAATGTATATTAAAAAAATCAACGTATAATAAAATTACTTAAAAATACAAGGATAGGGCCCTCCCTGGTGGCGCAGCAGGTTAAAGCACAGCACAAAGAGGCTTGGGCCACTTCCGCATGAGTTCGATCCCCGCCTGCCCCGGAGGTGACCACATGGCGTGGCAGACCTCTCCTGACCCGCCCGCTGCTCCCCTCAGCAGTGTACTTCATCAATCTGCCTGTTCTGCTCCCTGCTCTGTCTCTGGTGAATCCTCTCACCCTCCGCATCTCCGGCCTGTACCCCAGTTCTGTATAAATAAATAAATCTTAAAAAAATAATAATAATAAAAATACAAGGATAAGGAAATATCTAGGAGTTGAATGGGACAGCTTCTAAAGAAGAACTCAAATATGCTGAGTAGGGAACTGCTTTGTTTTTACATAAACTTTGACATTTAAGACTCGTATCTGTAACTGAAAAATAATAGTAACCATTTTACTTTAGAATGATATACTTCGTGTTTAACTAAATATATATATATATATATATATATATATATATAAGCAAAACAATAAGGAGATATTTTCTAGATTATTGTTTTCTGGCATTTTTCCTGAGAGGCCATCAGTCTCCATCTCCCTTAGAAAAATAATTATATACATTTTCACAAATTAAATAAACACCCACGTTCCCACAACTGTTTATCTTGGCTTACATAATTGCCAACAAACATGAAAACTGGATTTTTTTCTGCTATTATTAAACTATGCAGATGAGCATTTGAATCACATGCCTATAAAAACTGCCAGAATAAGTACAGGTTTATCTAACTAGGGTTTACTTATTTATTTTTAAAGATTTATTTATTTATGTATACAAGAACTGGGGAACAGGCCAGAGTTGCGGGAGGCGAGAGGATTCACCAGACAGGGGGGAACAGAATAGAGAGATGTACTGATATACACTGCTGAGGGGAGCAGCAGTTGAGATAAGAGAGGTCTGCTGTGCTATGTGGGTCACCTCCCTGGCCTGGTATCAGGGATCGAACTCGTGCAGTGGCTTTGGATAGCTGCAGAGTGTTGTGTTTTAACTCCTTGTGCCACCAGAGAGGTTCCAGTTTGGTTTTGTTTTTGTTTTTAATGATGAAAGATCATTGTTTGAAGTGTATAGTTCATGATTTTTGTTTCTGCTGTGGTTTCTACCTGTAAATGATTTGTAATTCAATTTATTTATCTATACAGTTTCAAATTTGGGATGTCATGTTAGATTCTGAATTTCATGAAATCTGTAATAGTCTCATGTCCATGCGCTTGACCTTAGAGACCATAAATGCTTAATTGCTGTAATTCTTTCTTCAGGGAATTATTCTAATTTGAACAACAGCATTTATTGTTTATAGATTGGCATGGAGACCAAAAATACACTAAACTCCTAAATTCCACATTCTAAAAAAGCTTTCCATTGTCTTTTGTAATTTTCCTCTTTTCCAGAAGTTGGATGTCATAATATTGTGTCAGTGTAGAAAGGTTAGGAGCTCTACTGCATTCTCAGGAAAGCTTACTTTCCAAGCAAATATTAAAAATATAGCATTAAGAAAATAAAAGAGGGCCTTCCGTGGTGGCACGGTCAGTTAAAGCACAGCACTGTGGAGCTATCCACAGCCACTGCTGCATCTAGTTCCATTCCCCCGCCAGGGAGCTGTCCCACATGGCACAGCAGACCTGTACTGTCTCACTCGCCGCTGCTCCCTTCAACAGTGTATTTCAATCAATCTACCTGTTCTGCGCCCCAATCTGTCTCTGGTGAAGCCTCTCACCCTCCTCCCCCCCAGATCTCTGACCTGTACCCCAGTTCTTATATGTGTAAATAAATCAATCTTTAAGAAAATAAAAGAGACAATAAGCTTCAGGAAGACATGAGCCCTTTCCATATTCACCGGGGCATCCCTAGTGCCTGACACAACATTCAGCAATGTAGTATATTCCAATGTGTTAAATGTTTGTAAATTTTGTCTTCTTTGTAATTTTGTCCACCTCCATTAACCAAGATACACAAAAAGGTAACATTCCTACGGCTCAAGTACTTATAATTCTCGAGGAACTGTCAATTCTTGAATCCCCAGAGACTAGAAAATGTTGAAAGAAAAAAAGGGTGCTGGAAAAAGCTAGTCAGGATAGGTCGGAATAAGTCCCAAATCCATTTTGTCACCAACTGCACTTTCAACCTAGTGGCCTGTTTCCTGAAAGTTACAGGTCTTAGTTACAAACCATTTTTTTAGCAACCGGTGCTTCCCGCTCCATGCAAAGTCAGGTCAAATTAACCGCAAAGACTTGGCTGATTGAAACACAAGCTAAAATATTATCATTGGCCCAAACGATCCACTTTATTTTTTTCTGCTGCGCAGGCCAATATCCACAACCGCAATGCTGCCTCATGTAGGGCGAACGTAAGACCGGTAGCAAGTGGAGAACTGTTTCTCAGCCAAAACCTAGGAAGGCTGGAATTTGTGCAATGAAGTAATCCAAACACCTCTAGGTGCCGGTCTTTAAAATCTTCATCTCCTAAGAAATTCCTTCCATTTCCCAGTGACAAGCGGAAGAAACATATTTCCAGAACCCTGTGGGGAGCGGTTCTTTTCGGAGTCAAAGCCAAGGTCAACTCCCCACCCCAGAGCCCCAGGCTGGGCCACACACGCCACAGCCCTAACTCCGCAACCGCGGAGCCGCGCGCCGCCCGCCGCGCCTTTAAAGAAGCCGCGCGGCCCGGCTGCCCCGCAGTTCAACTTCCGGCCACCTAGTGAGAGGATGTTTTCC